CTATATCCAGCCCCTTATTACCATCTTGAATCTTTTTTTTTTTTTTTGAGATGGAGTTTTACTCTTGTTGCCCAGGCTGGAGTGCAATGGCGCAGTCTCAGCTCACTGTAGCCTCCACCTCCCAGGTTCAAGCAGTTCTTCTGCCTCAGCCTCCCAAGTAGCTGGATTACAGGCATGTGCCACTGTGCCTGGATAATTTTGGTATTTTTAGTAGAGACAGTTTTGTCATGTTGGCCAGGCTGGTCTCGAACTCCTGACCTCAGGTGTTCCACCTACCTCAGCTTCCCAAAGTGTTGGGATTACAGGCGTGAGCCGTTGCTCCCAGTTTACCATCTTGAATCTTAAATCTTGGCTATAGGACATTTTCATTTTGTGATATCTAGAGATATGTTTAAAAAACCATACCATTTTGTTTTTGGTGTTTTTTTTTTTTTTTTTTGAGATGGAGTTTTGCTCTTGTTACCCAGGCTGGAGTGCAATAGCGTGATCTCGGCTCACCGCAACCTCCGCCTCCTGGGTTCAGGCAATTCTCCTGCCTCAGCCTCCTGAGTAGCTGGGATTACAGGCACATGCCACCGTGCCTAGCTAATTTTTTGTATTTTTAATAGAGATGGGGTTTCACCATGTTGACCAGAATGGTCTCGATCTCTTGACCTCGTGATCCACCCACCTCGGCCTCCCAAAGTGCTGGGATTACAGTCTTGAGCCACTGCGCCCGGCCCTAAAAAACCATACCATTTTGAAAGCTAAACTTTTGCTGGAATACTCAATGTGAATTATGTGAATTAAAATTTTCTACTTTGGGCTGGCTGTGGTGGTACATACCCGTAATTCTAGCACTTTGGGAGGCTGAGGTGGGTGGATCACTTGAGCCCAGGAGTTTGAGACCAGCCTGGGCAACTCAGCAAGACCCCATCTCTTAAAAAAAAATGCAAAGTTAGCCAGGCATAGTGGCACACACTTGTGGTCCCAGCTACTCAGGAGGCTGAGGTGGGAGATTGGCTTGAGACTGGGTGGCAGAAGTTGTAGTGAGCTGAGGTCATGCCACTGTACTCTTGCCTGGATGACAGAGTGAGACCCTGTCTCAAAGAAAAAAGAAAGGTCTACTTTGTGTCTATATTTGATTTGTGCAGATGCTTTCAAACCCATCTTTGAGAAGAACTTTTAAATCACCACGTTAGGTTTACGTACTGTATTAGTCCATTTTCATGCTGCTGATAAAGACGTCCCCAAGACTGGGCAATTTGCAAAAGAAAGAGGTTTAATTAGACTTACAGTTCCACATGGCTGGGGAGGCCTTGCCATCATGGCAGAGGCAAGTCACATCTTACCTGGATGGCAGCAAGCAAAGAGAGCTTGTGTAGATAAACTCTCCCTTAATAATAACCATCAGATCTTGTGAGACTTCTATCACAAGAACAGCACAGGAAAGACCTGCCCCCATGATTTGATTACCCCCCTCTTTGGTCCCTCCCACAGTATGTGGGAATTCAAATGAGATTTGGGTGGGTACACAGCCAAACCATATCACCTGCAGGACTGAGGCCCCACACCAGGCAGTTTGCTCCTCTTGCTTCGCCTCCTGTGTTGGTCACTTTGTCAAGCCTGGTCTCGGACTTTCCTACCTCATGAACTCTGCCACCAAAGCCACACACCCCACCTGTCGCTCCCTACCAGACCTGCTTCCTTTCCAAATGTCAATTCCACAGTTGACTTATAGGCCCTTAACCCTCACAAACCAAGACTTACATTTTTATTCTTTAGCTGTCTTTCAAGAGGCGCTCAAGAAGACAGTAACTGATGAAGCACACTCAGAAGTTCCTGGGTTTTGTGCTGGGGACAGAATACTCAAGTCCCAGCCTTAGAGAAGCTAACAGGAAATGTAATCAAGTAAATGGGCAGTGATTATGTAGTGTGATCCATGTGATGATGGGAGGTGATAGAGTTCGCTTTTCTTTCCTCAGTGTTGTTACGACCAAATAAGACATGGATGAGGCAGCCTCTTTGAGGCATGCGGTACTCTAGCAAGCTTGGTTGCTGAGGGCCAGCCTGCCTGGCTGCTTCTCGGCAAGCAGGAGAGGGAGGATTCTCTGCCAGCAGGAGAGGGAGGATTTGCTGTGGCCTGCTTATTGGTTTTCCCATCTGCGCTTCGGCACGGTCCATAGTTCTCTACCACATATGGCAGTAAAAGACGCTTGGTAGGAATGGGGGGTTCAGCTTAGCTCCCCAGTAGCATAGCAGGAAAGGGCACACTGAACATCTGGGTGGAATACAGGTTTAGTTGCTGTGTTAACTTTGAATTATATGGACAGTTGTTAATAGCAAAACAGCTCTACTCCTTGAGGCTGGAATCTTTTTTTTTTTTTTCTTTTTAGAGATGAAGTCTCAGCCGGGCGCGGTGGCTCACGCCTGTAATCCTAGCATTTTGGGAGGCTGAGGTGGGTGGATCACCTGAGGTCAGGAGTTCAAGACCAGCCTGGCCATCATGGTGAAACTCCATCTTAAAAAAAAAAAAAAAAAAGAGATGAAGTCTCCCTCTCTTGCAGGGGCTAGAGTGCAGTGGCAGATCACGGCTGACTGTAGCCTCAACCTCACGGGCTCCCATTTCAGCCTCATCAGTAGCTGAGACTGGTACTATAGGCACATGCCACCACACCCAGCTATTTCTTTTTTCAAATTTTTTGTAGAGGCAGGGTCTCCCTATGTTGCCCAGGTTCATCATGAACTCCTGGGTCCAAGTGATCCTTCTACTTCACCCTCCCAAAGTGCTGGATTACAGATGTGAGCCGCTGTGCCCACGTCTGTGTAGAATTCTTAAATGCAAAAAAGAAGTCTATGAAAACTGATAACATACTGTGCTATAAGAAAGCCTAAGCCAGGCATGGTGGCTCATGCCTGTAATCCCAGCACTTTGGAATGCTGAGGCAGGCAGATCACCTGAGCCCAGGAGTTCAATGCCAGACTTTGCAACATGGTGGAACCCAGTCTCTACAAGAAATACAAAAATTTGCTGAACACGATGACACTTCCCTGTGGTCTCAACTACTTCAGAGGCTGAGATGGAATTATTTTTTAAAGTTCTTCTTAAGGTAAATTTAGAATTCCAAGTTGTATGTAAGATTGTGGTGGAAATTTGGTGCAGTCTTGGCTCACTGTAGCCTCTGCCTCCTGGGCTCAACTGATTCTCCAACCTCAGCCTCCCAATTAGCTGGGACTACTGATGCAGATCACCATGGCTGGCTTTTTTTTTTTTTTAATTGTAGAGTCAGGGTCTCACTATATTGACCAGGCTGATATCAAACTCTTGGGTTCAAGTGATCTTCCTGCCTTGGCCTTCCTAAGTGCTGGGAATTAAAGGTGTGAGCTACTGTACCCAGCCTAGATTTTTTACATATCCTTTATGAATATTCCAATATACAATGGTTTGTTCATAATTATAAGAAAGGCTGGGTGCAGTGGCTCACATCTGTGATCGCAGCCCTTTGGGAGGCCAAGGCAGGTAAATCACCTGAGGTCAGGAGTTCAAGACTAGCCTGGCCAACATGGTGAAACCCCATCTGTACCAAAAATACAAAAACTAGCTGGGTGTGATAGCGCACACCTGTAATCCCAGCTACCCGAGAGGCTGAGGCTGGAGAATTGCTGGAACCCAGGAGGCGGAAGTTGCAGTGAGCCAAGATCATGCCACTGTACTCCAGCCTGGGCAGCAGAGCGAGACTTTATGTCAAAATAATAAGAAGAAAATAAAGTAATTTAATTCTTATATAGACCACCATTTGGTTGGGGTTAATAATCTGCATTTTAACATTGTGTTTCCAATCAGGTAGTTCAGCCATAAATTAATTACAAGCAAGAGTCGAATGCTCCTGTTGAGTGGATTTTGAAAGGCTCTAGAAGCAGGGCAACTTCCACAGTGTCATTTGATTTAACTTGTGCTGTCCTCAGTGAGTTATGTGAACCTATATAGAAGGAGGGATGGAGTCTTTAAAGTTCGGAGTAGTCGACTTTGGTATTTAATGCTAGGAAAATGATTTGGAATGCAGATGGACATAGTTTTAAGAGATAATACAAGTAGCAAAGAATAACTGAAGAGGCAGTTTGGAAACGTGTATGGGCGTTTTCAGTTGGATGAAGGATGCTGTTGGCATTTAGGGCCTGAGAGCCATGGGCTGCCTCAATAATGTGTGAAACCACAAAATCCAGAATTGTTCCCCCCATAATATCAATAACACTGAGAAGCCCCTCATTAGAGAGTGCTTTCTCCTGCATGTCAGAGAAGTCCAACTTAGTGGCTTGGCCAGGTGGAGGCTTGTTTTCCTCACATCCTGAGCAGCCCAGAGGGAGGCTGTGCTTGCCTGGTAGGGGCACCATATACCCAGAGTAGAGTCCTGGGTAGTTCTGTCTTCCGTGCCATCCTGAGGGTGGGCTTTCATCCTCACTGCTTCCAGATGGCTGCTCCACCTCCACAGGAGGGTGCGGCGGGGCAGAAGTGGCCCCTGGATAGGAAAGCAAAACTTAGAAATCATCAACAGCGAGCAGCCTGCATCTCTTTGGCAACAGCTGTGTTACCTGATAACTTTTCTTTTCAAAGGAGACTAAGAAAAATAGTTTTAAAGTGGACACATTTCCCTCCCCATCAAATTAGGGTTTTATACTTTAGGAAGAGGGGAAGAATGGATATGGTGTAATCAACTACCAGAAATGGTGTGTTCTCTAGTAATCAGATTTTGGAAAGGCCCTCCATCTGTGGAATGTCACAAGTTTAAATGGGAGTGCATGTGAACCTGGCTGGGAGCGTCCCCTAGCTCCTTCCAACCTCACCAGTGGGCTTTTGTTTCCTCAGCTACTGTATTTGCTTATATGGATCCATTTTGGCAAGTGAATTTAGATTTTCTTCCACATTCCAGTAAATGTCTTTTTAAACTTGTTTGCAGACTTTGCATTTTGTAGCCTATTCTCGAGCTGCCGCATTTTGACTGAGATTTTAAAATTGTACACAGGTGATATTCTTGAATTTCATGGCCCAGAAGGAACAGGAAAAACAGAAATGCTTTATCACTTAACAGCACGATGTATACTTCCCAAATCAGAAGGAGGCCTGGAAGTAGAAGTTGTGTTTATCGATACAGATTACCACTTTGATATGCTCCGGCTCGTGACGATCCTCGAGCACAGACTGTCCCAGAGCTCTGAGGAAGTGCTCAAGGTCTGCCTGGGGAGACTGGTGCTGCTGTACTGCAGCAGCAGCACCCACTTACTGCTCACGCTTCACTCACTGGAGAGCATGTTTTGTAGTCGCCCGTCTCTTTGCCTTTTGATTTTGGATAGCCTGTCAGCTTTTTACTGGATAGATCGCGTCAACGGAGGAGAAAGTGTTAACTTACAGGAGTCTACTCTGAAGAAATGTTCTCAGTTCTTAGAGAAACTTGTAAATGACTATCGCCTGGTTCTTTTTGCAACCACACAAACTTTAATGCAGAAAGCCTCGAACTCGGTGGAAGAACCTTCTCATGCCTCCCAACGCCTGCGTGACGTGGACATAGACTATAGACCCTATCTCTGTAAAGCATGGCAGCAAGTGGTGAAGCACAGGATATTTTTCTCCAAACAAGATGATTCGAAAAGCAGAAACCAATTTTCATTAGTTTCACGCTGTTTAAAAAGTAAGAGTGTAAAAAAACACTTTTTTATTATTGGAGAAAGTGGGGTTGAATTTTGTTGATATGTATCATAAAATAGTCTTTTGCAGGGTATTATGCAAGTCTTAAAGTTTTCTTTTTTAAGACAGGGTCTCGCTCTATCTTCCAGGCTGGAGTGCAGTGGCACAATCATGGCTCACTGCAGCCTTGAACTCCTGGCCTCAAGGGATCCTCCTATGTGTGACTCTCAGAGTACAGAAATTACAGGCATGTGCCAGTGCACCCAGCCAAAAGTTTTTTTCTTTTTGAGATGGAGTCTAACTCTGTCACCCAGGCAGGAGTGTTGTGGTGCGATCTCGGCTTACTGCAACTGTTGCCTCCTGGGTTCAGGCGATTTTCCTGCCTTAGCCTCCCAAGTAGCTGGGATTACAGGCACCTGCCACATGCCCGGCTGACTTTTGTATTTTTAATGGCGACTGCGTTTCACTATGTTGGCCAGGCTGGTCTCGAACTCCTGACCTGAAGTGATCCACATGCCTTGGCCTCCCAAAGTGCTGGGATTACAGGCGTGAGCCTCCGCGCCGGCCCTAAAGTTTTAAACTCTAGGGGAATTAACAGTGTTTCTTTACAGAATGGATTTGTTAAACCAGTACAATAAATCTAAAGACTATTCTGTTTCTAGGCTGTTGAATCAAAGTGCTATTAACAATTAAACTTTGTATTAATAAAATAAAAAAAAAAAAAGAAAAAACTTTGTATTAAGCTTGCTTTAAAAGCAAAGAAATAATGTATACATATATTACATATATCTGCCTAAATAAGCTGGACATTTATAACTTTGTGTCACATTTTTGGAATTTCATTAAGTACTTTTTTTTGTTTAAGAAACTTTACAGGCGAGGTGCGCTGGTTCACACCTGTTATCGCAGCACTTTTGGGGCTGAGGCGGGCAGATGATGCAGTCAAGAGATGGAGACCATCCTGGCCAACACAGTGAAACTCTGTCTCTACTAAAATATAAAAATTACCTGGGCATGGTGGCGTGTGTCTGTAGTCCCAGCTACTCAGGAGGCTGAGGCAGGAGAATTGCTTGATCCCAGGAGGCAGGGTTTCAGTGAGCAGAGATCGAGCCACTGCACTCCAGCCTGGCGACAAAGGGAGACTCTGTCTCAAAAAGAAACTTTACATAAATGCATTTCTTTCTTCTTCTTCTTTTTTTTTTTTTGAGATGGAGTCTCAGTCTGTCGCCCGGGCTGGAGTGCAGTCCAAGTAGCATGACACATGCCTCTAGTCCCAGCTAATAGTAGCTAATAGTAGCTGGGATTGAGGCATGTGTCACAACACCCAGCTAACTTTTGTATCTGGTATCACCATGTTGGCCAGGCTGGTCTTGAACTCCTGGCCTGAAGTGATCCACCTGCCTCAGCCTCCCAAAGTTCCGGGATTACAGGCATGAGCCATCTTGCCTGGCATCTTTTCTTTTCTCTCTCTCTTTTTTCTTTTTTTTTTTTTTGGAAACAGGATCTCACTCTGTTTCCCAGGCTAGAGTGCAATGATGCAGTCAGAGCTTGCTGTAGCCTCAATCTCTTGGGTTCAAGTGTGACCCTCCTACCTCGGCCTCTGAGTAGCTGGGACTATAGGCATGGGCCACCACGTCCTGCTAATTTTTGTATTTTTTTATAAAGACAGGCTTCACCATGTTGGCCAGGCCTGTCTCAAATTCCTGTACTCAAGCAGTCCATCTAGCTCAGCCTCTCAATGTGCTGAAATTACAGGTGTGAGCCACCATGCATAACCAGTTACTAGTATTCTCTGACCTCTTTAGAACAGTCATTTCCAGCTGAGAGTTGGACAGGTGCTTTTTTTGTTGTTTGTTTTTGAGATGGATTCTCTCCTGCTGCCTAGGCTAGAGTGTGGTGGTGTAATCTTGGCTCACTGCAACCTCCACCTCCCAGGTTCAAGTGATTTTCCTGCCTCAGCCTCCCGAGTAGCTGGGAGTACAGGTGTGTGCCACTATGCCCGGCTAATTTTTGTACCCCAAATGGGTGTGTGCACCTCAAGGGGTATACAAGGGGATGTGTTGTGGTGGAGGAAGAAAATTTTAGAAATTCTCTTAACACATTTAATTCAAGAAGAGATCAGTTTGTATCAGTTTGATATTTAGATTGACCTCAGCAGTCTCCTTCAATCCGTATGTCAAAATGTCATATGTCACATATGTATCTGAGTTACTCCGTGGGAAAAGTGGAAGGAATTGGAGTAGTGTCCTCATGGGCTTGTTCATTTTTATGTTTCCTATTCAGTTAAAGCTATTTATCTGTAAATGCACTTACCTAATGGAAGTTTCTTTCTTCTTTCTTTTTCTTTTTTTTTTTTTTTTTGAGACAGAGTCTCATTCTGTCGCCCAGGCTGGAGTGCAGTGGCGTGATCTTGGCTCACTGCAACCTCCGCCTCCCAGACTTGAGCAATTCTCCTGCCTCAGCCTTCTGAGTAGCTGGGATTACAGGCGCCTGCCACCACACCTGGCTAATTTTTCTATTTTTAGTGGAGGCGGGTTCACCATGTTGGCAAGGCTGGTCTTGAACTTGTGACCTTAGGTGATCCGCCCACCTCGGCCTCCCAAAGTGCTGGGATTACAGGCTTGAGCCCCCACACCTGGCCATGCATATGTTTAACTTTTTTTTTTTATAGTTCATCTTTCTAAATTTTGTATACTTTTATTATATGCAATACATGTTAGACATAATTTTTTTTTTTTAGATGGACTTTCCCTCGTGTTGCCCAGGCTAGAGTGCTATGGCACAGTTTCGACTTATGGCAACTTCCACCCCCTGGGTTCAGGCAATTCTCCTGCTTCAGCCTCCCAAATAGCTGGAATTACAGGCATGTGGCACCATGCCCAGCTATTTTTTTGTATTTTTAGTAGAGATGGGGTTTCTCCATGTTGGTTAGGCTAGTCTCAAACTTCTGACCTACCTGCCTCGGGCTCCCAAAGTGCTGGAATTACAGGCATGAGCCACCGCGCCTGACCATACATAAGTAATTTATAAACATTTGTAAGTTGGGGAAATATGCTGATTTCACCCCATCAGTGTGTATGGTCAGTACAATTCAGAATCCTACTCTAGAGTACTACTTTCAGCTCTCGAGACAAGATGTGAATGTTCAGTTACCTTCCCTTTCAAGCTCTGTAAAGTGTGTGCCAAGTGTGTATGAAAAACTCAGCAAATCTCAGCAGAATTCTAGCCTTAAATACAATAGGATTTTTCATTTCCCCTTTCTGTAAATGAAATGTTAATTTAATGGACTGTTATTCACTGATTTATAACTTACTCTTTAGGAAAATGATTTAAAAATAATGAACTTTCATACTAACTTAAATTATCAATTATAATAATGTGTCAGACTAAAGACTGCATTATCTAAAAATGATTTGTTATTTGACACGTTGGAAGGAATTAAGAATACTGGTTAGGCTGGGTGCGGTGGCTTACATCTGTAATGCCAGCTCTTTGGGAGGCCGAGATGGGTGGATCACTTGAGGTCAGGATTTCAAGACCAACCTGGCCAACATTGTGAAACCCTGTCTCTACTAAAAATACAAAAAAAAGAAAAGATTAGCCAGGCAGTAGTGGCGCATGCCTGTAATCCCAGCTACTCAGGAGGCTGAGGCAGGAGAATTGCTTGAACCTGGGAGGCGGAGGTTGCAGTGAGCCGAGATTGCACCACTGCATTCCAGTCTGTGCGACAGAGTGAGACCCTGTCTCAAACCAAAAAAAAAAAAAAAAAGAGAGAGAGAAGAAATTTTAGTACTTGTAAAAAGTAAAGAGAAAGAGATAGAGACACCACACTGTAAGTTATATATGTAGCAGACACCAGGGATGCTGGCTGGAACCAGAATAATAACAGAAGTGCATGATTACAAATCTCAGAATATTTATCCCATTTATTTGTCTTATTTACCTGTAAAAAAAAAAACAAGGGGATCATAAAATACTTTTCTTCTCGAGGTCACTGTGAGAATCTGGTGGAAAAAAATACATGTGAAAATTAGTTCAGACATTTATTTAATATATACTATACAAAATTAATATGGTAATTACCTTATCACTTGCTTCAAATATATAGTTTACTTTTTTTAAAGGCAATCAGTTATTTAATTAGATTATTAGGACATTTAAAACACCAATTTGTGAGGATAAATTCCATTTGTCAGGGCAAACACAGATCGCAGGTAGCCCTGGAGCTGAGGAATAGCTTTGATTTTTGGTAAAATTTGTGAGTCCACAGCTTTCTGATCAATTTTGCTCTGCTCTGTAATCTCGTATTTCTCTTTTTCTGTGTCAAAGATCTCACCTTCCTGGTGTCTGGGCTTCCACAACTTCTTCTTGAAGTAAGCATCAGTAAGATGTTTTGGGATTTTTACATTGCTGGTATCAATTTTGATTGAGGTGGCAATGACAAATTTCTGGTGCGTTCTTCGCAGAGGAACTCAATTGAGGACCAGAGGTCCAGTCACAAGTAACAAGCCACTAGCCAGCTGCTTCAGGAAAACCACCCTCTTGCCCTGTGGCGTCCAGTGTGGATGATCAGAATGGTCCCGGGGGTAATGCTGGCTCGCAGTTTTCTCACGTGCTGACTAAAGGGTTTTTTGCCGTGGCTCAACAGCTTTCGAGGCACATCTTCATTAGGATAATACCCAGGCATTTTGCGAAGTTTAACCACCCGGGTGCTGCTGTTTTTGTCACCACCAACTGGTTTTGTAACAGTTGCAAGAACCTTCTTCTTTTTCTTTTCAACCTTGGATTTAGCCGCTGAGTACTTCCTCTTGTACACGGCCTATCTGGAATACATGGCAGATCGGGAATACCTGCCAATTCCTCTGACAAGAACAGGATTGCGGCTGCAATGGGGCTTCCCCTTCTGGGGCTTTTTAGCCTTGAGGGTTACCCTTTTTCACTTTGCTACCAGCATCAGCCTTCTTGGCTTCCGGTTTCTTCTCTTTAGTATCTGGCTTCTCAACTTTTTCACCTGCCATCTTGCAAGATGGGAAAGAGTAGTTTTCTACTTTTAACCACAAGATGCTGTATTATTTGCTTTAAGGCTTAGCTAAAAAAAAAAAAAGCTGCTATATTATTATTTCATTAATTTTTTATGTAGACTACTAAGTTATTTATGGATTATCTAAGAATGAGACTGAAATAGACATTTTCAGATAAAGAAAAACAGAATTTACCACCAAAATTTCTTCAGTAAACAAACTTCTAAAAGATATACTTCAAGGAAGATTATCCCAGAAAGTAAATCTGAGATGTAAGAATAATGATGAGTAAATGGTAAGCACTGGAGTAAATCTAAAGAAATACTGATAGTAAGGCAATCCTAAGCAAAAATAACAAAGCTGGAGGCATCACACTACCCAGCTTCAAACTATACTACAAGACTGCAGTAACCAAAACAGTATAGTACTGGCACAAAAACAGACACGTAGAGCAATGGAACAGAAGAGGTAATTCAGAAATGAGACCGCACACCTATAATTTTCTGATCTTTGACAAACCTGACAAAAACAATGGGCAATGAATTCTCTATTCAATAAATGGTGCTGGGATAACTGGCCAGCCATATGCAGAAGATTGAAAATGGACCCCTTCCTTACAACATATACAAAAATTAAACTCAAGATGAATTAAAGACTTAATGTAAGATCCCAAACAATAACAATCCTGGAAGATACTCCAGGCAATACCTTTCAGGACATAGGCACAGTCAAGGATTTAATGATGAAGATGCCAAAAACGATTGTAACAAAAGCAAAAATTAACAAATGGGATCTAAATTTAAACTATAGAGCTTCTGCACAGCAAAAGAAACCATCAACAGGGTAAACAAACAAAGAATGGGAGAAAATTGTTGCAAACTATGCATCTGAGAAAGGTTGGATATCCAGCATCTCTAAGAAACTTAAACAAATTTAGAATAAAAAAACACTCCATTAAAAAGTGGGCAAAGGACATGAACCGACACTTTTCAAAAGAAGACATTTGTGGCCGACAATCCTATGAAAAAAAGCTCAACATCACTGATCATTAGAGAAATGCAAATCAAAGCCACAATGAGATGTCATCTCACACCAGTCAGAATGGCTATCATAAAAATGTAAAAAAAAAATAACAGAGGCTGGAGAGGTTGTGGAGAAAAAGATATGATTGTACACTGTTGGTGGAAGTGTAAATTTGTTCAACCATTGTGGAAGGCAGTGTGGCGATAAAGACAGAGATACCATTTGACCCAGCAATCTCATTACTGGGTATATACCCAAAGGAATAGAAATCATTCTGTTATAAAGACACATGCACGCATATGTTCATTGCAGCGCTGTTCACAATAGCAACGGCATAAAACCAACTTAGATGCCCATCAGTGATAGACTGGATTAAGAAAATGTGGTACATATATACTAGAGAATACTGTGCAGCCATAAGAAGGAACAGGGACATGGAAGGGGCTGGAGGCCATTATCCTTAGCAAACTAGCATAGGAACAAGGTCATGTCCTTTGCCAGGAACATGGAAGGGGCTGGAGGCTATTATCCTTAGCAAACTAACGTAGGAACTGAAAAACAGGTACTGCATGTTCTCACTTATGAGTGGGAGCTCAATGATGAGAACACATGGATATAAAGAAGGGAACAACACACACTGGGGCCAACATGAGGGTGGAGGGTTGGAGGGAGAAGAGCACAAAGAATAACTATTGGGTACTAGGCTTAATAACTATTGGGTACTTGGGTGACAAAATAATCTGTACAACAAACCCCCATGACACGTTTACCTATATAACCTGCACATGTACCCTTGAACTTAAACAGTTTTACAAAGTTGATAGTATAAAACTATTTGATTTGTGAGAAAAAAACATAAAATTCAAAATAACCTATTGCCTCCTGTAATCCTGTATATGTAAGGTAAGTAATTGAACTTATTCAACCTGAAGATCGTGCATTACTCTGTTTTGCTGTTGTTTTGTTTTGAGGCAGGCCCTTTGCCACCCAGGCTGGAGTGTAGTGGCTTGATACTGGCTCACTGCAGCCTACACCTTCTGGGCTCAAGTGATCCTTCCACCTTAGCTTCCTGAGGAGCTGAAACTACAGGTGTGCAGCATCACGCCTGGCTATTTTGGGGGCAGGGTTAGAGACAAGTCTCCCTATGTTGTCCAGGCTGGTCTGAAACTCCTGGGCACAAGCAGTCATCCTGCCTAAGCCTTTCAAGCTGGTAGAATTTCTTTTATAGGAAGCCCTTCAAATTTTCACCTTCAAAATCAAGGCTCAATTTGGACCATATCTTTACTGTCCTTCAGAATAATACAAGGTTAGCCTGTCTCTACAAAAAATTTAAAACTTAGCCAGGCATGGCAGCAGTGGCTATAGTCCCAACTACTCAGGAGGCTGAGGTGGGAGGATCACTTGAGCCCAGGAAGCTGAGGCTACAGAGAGCCATGATTATGCCATTGCACTCGAGCCTGGACCACAGAGTGACACCTTGTCTCAAGAAAAAAAAAATGGGCTTGGTGTGGTGGTTCACGCTTGTAATTTCAGCACTTTGGGAGGCTGAGGCGGGCGGATCACCTGACGTCAGGAGTTTGAGACCAACCTGGCCAATATGGTGAAACCCTATCTCTACTAAAAAATATAAAAGTTAGCTGGGTGTGGTGGCAGGCACCTGTAACCCCAGCTACTTGGGAGGCTGAGGTAGGAAAATCACTTGAGCCCAAAAGTCTGAGGTTGCAGTGAGCCGAGATTGCACCACTGTACTCCAGCCTGGGCTACAGAGGCTCCATCGCAAAAAAAAAAAAAAAAAAAAAAAAAAAAAAAAAAAAGTCAACAATAGGATTATTAGATTTCAAATTTAGACAAAAAAAAAAAATAAAAAACTTTCTAAAGAATAGGTCAAATAAGAAATCATATTCAAAATTTAGGTCAGGGACAGTGGCTCACGCCTGTAATCACAGCACTCTGGGAGGCCAAGGCGGGTGGATCACGAGGTCAGGGGTTTGAGACCAGCCTGGGCAACATGGAGAAACCCTGTCTCTACTAAAAATATAAAAATTAGCCAGGCATGGTGGTGTGCACTTGTAATCCCAGCTACTCAGGAGGCTGAGGCAGGAGAATTGCTTGAACCTGGAGGCAGAGGTTACAGTGAGCCGAGATTGTGCCACTGCACTCCAGCCTGGCAACAGAGCGAAACTCCATCTCAAAAAAAAAGAAAGAAAAATATTCAAAATTTAAAAATACTAATATACAACTTAAGTTATAAAAAGAAAAACAAAAGAAAGGACACCGAAGGAGGAAATAACAGCCGAAACTGATTAAATAGAAAACCAAGTAAGAACAACCAGGTGAAAGCTGGTTCTATTCATGGATGATTAGGAAGAGTAAGCTTTTTACTGAAGTTCAAAACAGTAGGAGGCATGAACTATAGACAGAGCAGAGATTTATTTTAGAATATTTATATCAATAAATTTGAAAACACAACAGACACATCTTACTAAAACTACCTCCAAGAAAACACAAAAACTTCTCTAAAATTGACACTTTAAAAAGCAACTGTAATTACAAGACTTGAATCAGTAATTTGAGCTCTCCCCAGACATTTAGGGAGACTTGAATTTTCAGTGATAAAATATGTAATTTAGACAAACTCACCCACTGAAGTGAAGAAACTGGATAAAATACAAACATATTTGATACTTCAAAGAGTATCTAACCAGTTGAAGAATTGCAGGTCAAGGTCCTGAGGGGGTGGAAGGCCATATGCCACTTGCAGTTGCTGAGAGTAAGCTGTACTTTTGGTGCTGTCTCTGGGGAGCAGTAAACCACGGCCCACTGTCACCAGGACGCTGAAAAGTGATGCCCGAGGGTTAAGGGTGAAATGGAAATAAACTAGCCTCTTCCCCAGACTGCAGCTCAGTCTTGCATCATTTGAGTGGCACAAAAAGTCACAGGCCAGGCGCAGTGGCTCATGCCTGTAATCCCAGCACTTTGGGAGGCCCAGGTGGGTGGAACACCTGAGGTCAGGAGCTCGAAGCCAGCCTGGGCAACATGATGAAACCCTCTCTCTACTAAAAATTTAAAAATTAGCTGGGTATGGTGGTGGGTGCCTGTAATTCCAGCTACTTGGGAGGCTGAGGCAGGAGAATCATTTGAACCTGGGAGGTGGAGGTTGCAGTGAGTGGAGATCATGCCATTGCACTCCAGCATGGATGACAAGAGTGAAACTGTCTCAAAAAAAAGTTACAGGCCAAGCTATGCTAGCACTGCCGCACTCCAGCCTGTGTGAGGGAGTGAGACCACGTCACACACACAAGTCACAAACCTTAATATTTTTTAAAATTTTGGTTGAGCGTAGTGGCTCACAGCTATAATCCCAGCACTTTGGGAGGCTGAGGCAGAAGGATTAGTTGGGGCCAGGAGGTCCTGATCAGCCTGGGCAATATAGAGAGACCCCTGTCTCTACAAAAAAATTTTTTTTTTTTTTGAGACTGAGTTTTGCTGTTGTTACCCAGGTTGGAGCGCAATGGCGCGATCTCGGCTCACCGCAACCTCCACCTCCCGGGTTCAGGCAATTCTCCTGCCTCAGCCTTCTGAGTAGCTGGGATTACAGGCACGCGCCACCATGCCCAGATAATTTTTTGTATTTTTAGTAGAGACGGGGTTTCACCATGTTGACCAGGATGGTCTCGATCTCTTGACCTTGTGATCCACCCACCTCGGCCTCCCAAAGTGCTTGGATTACAGGCTTGAGCCACCGCGCCCGGCCTACAAAAATATTTTTAAAATAAAATTGGGGATAGAGAGATGAAAGGAAAATGGCAAAATATTGGTAACTGTTAGAGTATGACACTAATTGAGGTGATCTCTGATTTTTAGTGCCCCCAAGACCCTATGAAAATAAAAATTCTCTTAATAATAATGAGAGAGCTCATCAATAATAATATCATCCTAGGCCTCAATTTGTAAAAGATAATTATCAAATGCAGTGTCTGAAATGTGTCCGAAATACAATCAGTAACATGACACAGAAGAAGACAAGTCTCTTGAATAAGAAACTGCAGGAACGAATGACTCCCCCAAAATGTGCACCTGTACACACAGACACACCCACTCACAGACTTAGAACACATGGCAAGAACAGCATATCATTTGGCACTGGGAGCAGATGGAACTAGAGTTCTAAGGGCCTTGCATTGTATGGGTGACCGGAAAAGGTCTCAATATTAGACATTGAGAGAGTCTGCACCTTATGATTCCTTAACTACTCAAGAATAGAAAAAGGGCATAACTTTAAAATCAAACAAGGGAAAGTGATGGGCTAATTTTTAAATTAAAAACAAACACAGCAGGACAGATCCAAAGCACAGAGAAGGTGGTACACTGAACCCCATCCACACCATTAGCTGGTGGTGGAGTCTTCATTTCATGCAAAGGGACTGAGGACTCCAGTTACCACAGTCTCGCTCTGTCACCCAGGCTGGAGTGCAGTGGCGTGATCTCGGCTCACTGCAAACTCAGCCTCCCGGGTTAAAGCGATTCTCTTGCCTGAGCCTCCTGAGTAGCTGGGACTACAGGCACGCGTCACCATGCCTGGCTAATTTTTTGTGTTTTTAGTAGAGACAGAGTTTCATTGTGTTACCCTGGATGGAGACTGGTTCTTAAAATACATGTTTGCTGTTTTATTTTTAGAGAGAAGGTCTTGCTGTGTTGCTCAGGCTGGCATGCAGTGGCACCATCACAACTCACTGCAGCCTCAAACGTCTGGGTTCCAGTGAAACTACCACCTCAGCCTCCCAAGTAGCCGTGCCTACGTGCATGTGCCACCTCACCCAGCTGATTCCCTTGAATTAGTAAAAGGTATATACAAAAATCCCGCAGTAAACATCACTTAATAGTGAAATATTAGAAGTGACTCTTAAAATCAACAACAAGACAAGAGTGCCTGCTATCGTTACTTGTATTCAGCATTGTACTGAAAGTGTCAACACAGGCAAGGAAAATAAAAAAAGGCATGTGGAAGAAACAAAACTGTCATTCTTTAAAGGTTAGATGATTGTATGTATGGAAACCCAGTATCATTTATGAGCAGATTATTAGTATTAAGAGTTTAGCAAATTCACGAGCTGAAAGATGAACATTTAAGTTTTTCTAAGTACCAGCCACAGAATTAGAAAATGGAATTTTAGGCCGAGTGCAGTGGCTCACAACTATAATCCTAGCACTTTGGGATGCCAAGGAGGGAGGATTGCTTGAGTCCAGGAGTTCGAGACCAGCCTGGGCAACTTAGTGTGAGACCCTGTCTCTATAAAAATAAATTTTTAAAAAGAAAATGGAATTTTAATTGTATATAATTTTTAATCATAACTAAAAATATAAAGTGCCTAGAAATCTAGCAAGAATATGCAAGACCTTTTTGGAGAAAATTACAAAGCTATATTGTAAGCTGAGTTTAACCCTTTTCTCATTTAGAGAAAAAAAAGTGCAGCTCACTGCCAGCGTTCATTTAATTTTACATAAACACACTCTTGGAGGCTGAAGCAAATCTTAACTGATTTTCAGTGTGAAAATAAAATATAAAAACTGTTCCTGGAGTTATTTCTAAACGGAACTAACATCAGAGTCATCTGAATCATCAGAATCATCTATTTCAGAAAACTCGGATTCATTGAATGAATCTTTAGCTAACTGTTGAGAATGATGTTAACATCACATGTAGGAATGCTACATTTTCTAGGATTTGACATTTTCAGGAATCAAGAATTACTATATTTTGTAAATGGAAATACCACTACTAAAAACAGAATGATGTCTTTTGTTTCTAAAGTCGATATACTAGAGCAACGTGAAAATAATAAAAGCAAGATATTTCGTGGCAACGTTACCTCAGGTAAATGCTGCAACTGCAAGCACTGCCGATGAGTATTCTCGGGGCAGATGGGACGAAAGGAACCCCTAAATAAGTGGAGAGAATGGCAGGGCACGGTGGCTCACGCCTGTAATCCCAACACTTTTGGAGGCCGTGGTGGGTGGATCACCTGAGGTCAGGAGTTCAAGACTAGCCTGACCAATATGGTGAAACCCGTCTTAAAAAAAAAGATGGAGAGAAGTAGCACGTTTGTGATTGAGAGACTCACTGTTGAAAAGATGTCAGTTCTGCGATTGACCAGTTGATCCCATGTAATTCCTGTCAAAATCCCACCAAAACTATTTTTTGCTTCATTGGGAACTGATTCTTAAATTTAGTACAGTAAGGAGCCAGGAGTCCTGGAGCCCCTTGTATCCACTTAGGTCTGCCAGGAGGCACATGTCAAAATGATGTCAGAAGCATGAGAGATGAAAGACAAGAGTGGGCAGAATGAGGCAGAGAAAGCCTTCAGGCCCACCACCTGTGGAATGAAGGAGGCAGGAAGAACTAGAGACCGCAGCTTAGAGAGGCTTGGCCTGTCCACCCGGGAACTCCTGTGCAAAGATTGCCTGGAGGACGCCCTCACTGGGCGGAAATATCCCGGCCCCTCTGCCTTGTCCAGGCATTCATGAGCTGCCTGTAGAGGCCATGACCTCAGCTCAAATACTGTGGCAGAACCCAAAGGCACTTTCGCTGGAGGCTGCCAGATAACTCACTTTCCAAAGGAGATGGAGCAGTGCAATTCTATGGCTGCTAAGTGTTCTTAAAGGAGGCTGAGGTAGGGGAACTCACCCTACTAGATGTAAAGACACATTGCTAAAGTGAGAATATGCTCTTAGTACAGTATACACAAATAGAACAGAATATAGAGCTTTGGAACAAACCCACACATGTATGGACTTTAATATATTTCAGAAGCAGCAAATCATTGTGGAAAGGTTAGGCTATTCAAATCCTTGTAGCAAGGATCAGTGACACAACGGAAAAAGATGAAACTGAAAATTGGATTACATTAGTACTTACAATTTTTACTCATCAAAGATACCATAAATAAAGCAAAAAAGAGAAGCTACAGAGTATATTTGCAACCCATGCGAACAACACATTTAATATCAAAAACAATGTAGTGTGTACATATGTGCACAAAAATATGTGCGTATACATAAATCAAGGAAAAATTAGTAAGTAGAAAAATGAGCAAAGGTTATTCCAAGGGATTTCACAGAAAAAGAAACGGGACTGGTCAAAAAACATGAAATGCTATTCAGTCACATTGGTAATTGCAAATACAAACTAAGAGCTCAGTAAGGTGTCATTTCATGCACACTTGGATGACAGAAATTAAAAGGCTGATGTTACCAAGTACCAAAGAACTCCAACTCTGTGCTGCTGGTGGCAAAGATCGCGCCATTGCATTCCAACCTCGGCAACAGGGCAAGACTCCGTCTCAAAAAAAAAAAAGAATGCGCTGCTGTCAGATGCATAAGCATTCAAAAAATCCTAGAAACATAATGCTGATTTTTTTTTTTCCAGAGGCTAAGGAAGGGATGGGGTTGGGCAGGGAGGGGAAAGGGCTGGAGTGGAGTCTGCTGCATTTTTTAATAGAGATGGGGTTTCTCCATGTTGGCCAGGCTGGTCTTGAACTCCTGACCTCAGGTAATCCGCCCACCTTGGCCTCCCTGCATTTTCTTAAAGAACATTGCAAAGGAATACCTTCGGCCAGGGCGTGGTGGCTCACGCTTGTAATCGCAGCACTTGGGAAGGCCAAGGTGGGTGGACCATCTGCGGTCAGGAGTTTGAGATCAGCCTGGCCAACATGGTGAAATCTTGTCTACTCCAAACACAAAATTAGCTGGGCCTGGTGGCACGCACCTGTAATCCCAGCTACTCAGGAGGCTGAAGCAGGAGAATTGCTTGAACCCGGGAGGCGGAGGTTGCAGTGAGCCGAGATCACGCCACTGCGCCTGGCAACAGAGTGAGACTTCGTCTCAAAAATAAAAACAGAAAACTGCAAGTATCCGGACTCAGAGCCAAAGAAAAAAAACTGCAAGTAGACTTTGGTGTTTCAGGGGAGCCTGAGTTCTGGCTTCTCATCTAGACTCGCCCGCCTTCTCCCTTCCGTCCTACCACATTCCCACTTCGAAGTACGCCCAGTTCCCTGCTGAGCTCTCACCGCGTCTACTCTGTTAGGTCTGCAGACCTAGTCCACTCTACCAGCGTCCTGGCTTTAAATGTTGGAACGTTTCAACAGAATACAGAAAATAAATTTTTTCTAAATTAGCATGAGGGAAACTCTGAACCTATGAGCGTATTCTGGTTGGGGAGACCACTCTTTTTAAAAAACGGGGAATTGCTATTGTCTTCCCTCCACTTTTTTTGTCTTTATGGGTTTATGATTTTTTTCCCCTTTTCCTGTGATTTTAGTAAGGTTTCAGGAGGAATTAGTGGTTAACAGGCATGTCTGACTTGCAGTGGTTATCTAGAAGTTTTATCATTTACGCTGATTCTGGATTTTCTATTCCTTGCAGTTAAAATCATCTTGATTTGATGGAATTGCAATAGTATTTACTCACAGAAATATTTTATGATTTTTAATGAGTACGCAGTATTTCCTCTGATGCAATAAATATGTAATTATTTAATCATCCTTGAAATATGAGTGGCTCCCAATGTCTTTGTTTTTTGAAAATAGAATTATAGGCCGGGCGTGTTGGCTCACGCCTGTAATCTCAGCACTTTGGGAGGCCGAGGCAGGCGGATCACCTGAGGTCAGGGGTTCAAGACCAGCCTGGCCAACATGGTGAAACCCTGTCTTAAAATAAAGGAAGGAAAACAGAATTATGAAAGTAAAAAAATTAAAAATAAAGTTTATAAAACTTATGAAAATTTTCTGCAAGTTTTAAATATTAGCGAACATCTCAAACTGGGCACAGTGGATCATGCCTGTAATCCCTACACTTTGAGAGGCCAAGGCAGAAGGATTGCTTTGAGCCCAGGAGTTCAAGACCAGCCTGAGCAATAATAGTGAGACCCCCATCTCTACAAAAAATGTATTTATCTTTGAGACAGCGTCTCACTTTGTCGCCCAGGCTGGAGTGCAGTGGCATAATCTTAGCTCACTGCAACTTCTGCCTTCTGGGTTTAAGATTCTCCTGCCTCAGCCTCCTGAGTAGCTGGGACTACAGGCATAAGCTGCCGCACCTGGCTAGTTTCTGTATTTTTAGTAGAGGTGCAGTTTCACTATGTTGGCCAGGCTGGTCTCCAACTCCTGACCTCCGGTGATCTGCCCATCTCCACCTCCCAAAGTGTCAGGATTACAGGCATGAGCCACTGCGCCTGGCCTCTACAAAAAATTTAAAAATTACCCCAGTGTGGTGGTGCATGCCTGTGGTCCCAGCTACTCGGGAGGCTCAGAGGGAAGGAGTACTTGAGCCCGGGAAGTCAAGACTGCAGTAAGTCATGATCAGGCCACTGCACTCACCTGGGCAACAGAGTGAAATTTTGTCTGATTAAAAAAAAAAAATTTGGCTAGGCGCAGTGGCTCATACCTGTAATCATAACACTTTGGGAGGCTGAGGCAAGAGGATCACTTGAGGTCAGGAGTTTGAGACCAGCCTGGCCAACATGGTGAAACCCTGTCTCTATTAATAATACAAATATTAGCTAGGCATGGTGGCACACACCTGTAATCCCAGATACTTGGGAGATTGAAACACAAGAATCACTTGAACCCAAGGAGACTGCAGTGAGTGGAGATGGCACCACTGTGCTCCATCCTGGGAAAGAGAGTGAGACTTTCTCAAAAAAAGAAAAATTTGCAAGACTTTATATCAACTTATGCTCCTACCCTCAGAGGAGGAGAGTGTCAGTGCTTTCATACTCCTGCAGTAGGCGGTACTTATATTGAATTATACCTTTATTTTCTAATTGCATTCATTGGGAAAAATTCAGAAAAATAAAATAGTAATCCCAGCACTTTGGGAGGCTGAGGCAAGTGGATCACAAGGTCAGGAGATCGAGACCATCCTGGCCAACACGGTGAAACCCCGTCTCTACTAAAAATACAAAAAATTACCCGGGCGTGGTGGCACACACTTCTAGAGTCCCAGCTACTTGGGAGGCTGAGGCAGGAAAATCACTTGAACCTGGGAGGCGGAGGTTGCAGTGAGCCGAGATCACAGCACTTCACTCCAGCCTGAGCGACAAGAGCGAGACTGTCTTAAAAAAAAAAAGTCATGATCTCACCATTCTAAGATCTCCGCCATTATCATTTAGAGTGTGTCATTCCAGAAAAGTCTCTATACATGCATGTACATTGTTCTTTTTTTTTGTTTTGTTTTGAGATAGGGTGTCATTCTGTCACCTACGCTGGAGTGCAGTGGCGCAGTCATGGCTCACTGAAGCCTCAACCAGCCAGGCTCAAGTGCTCCTCCTACCTCAGTCTCCTGAGTGGCTGTGACTGCAGGCATGCACTACACCTGGCTAATTTTTAAATTTTTTTGTGGGGACAGAGTCTCGCTTTTTTGCCCAGGCTGGTCTCAAAATCCTGACCTCAAGCTGTCCTTCCACCTCAGTCTCCCAAAGTACTAGATTGTAGGTGTGAACAACTGCATGTGGCCCACATTGTTCTTGAAGGGAGTGTTTTGGCTTTTTGTTGCTTTTTTCCTTGCTGGACATACTGTTTTTTTGTTGTGTTTTGTTTGTTTGTTTTTGTTTTTTGAGACAGAGTCTCACACTGTTGCCTTGGGCTAGAGAGCAGTGGCACAATCTTGGCTCACTGCAGCCTCCACCTCCTGGGTTCAAGGGATTCTCCTTCCTCAGCCTCCCGAGTAGCTGGGATTACAGGAGCCTGCCACCACATCTGGCTAATTTTTTGTATTTTTAGTAGAGATGGGGTTTC